GGAGCACCGTCTCACATTGGCTGGCAGACGCCTGCAGATGTGGGGAAAGCACAGGGTTGGCAGGGACGTCCAGCGGGCTCAGAGGGAGACAGGAGTCTCGAGAGGGAAAGGAGGAAAGGTTCAGCAACATCTTCTGGAGGTCACCGTCATCTGTCGACCTCATCTGGGTGTCCAGCTCTGTGGTGCACATGGCTCTCCCATCTGAGTCCATTCTGACAGGAGGGGAGGACAGGTGGATCCCATGGCCATCTTTCAGGATTCTGGTCAGGGCTGGGGCCATAACACCAAGGAAGCAGGCTTCACAGACTGCACCTTAAATAACCTGACAGCAGAAAAACCCATTTGTAGGTGATTAAAGCCCTAAACTGTAATCCTACTAGAATTTTACGCACACTTCTGCACAGATATGCAAAATATGGTTTGTCTAGGAATATTATATTAAAGACCATAAAAAAGTAGTGGAGTATGACTGGAGACCAACTACAATGTCAGGATAGGAAAAGTGGACACAGCACAGGCACAGGCAGCTTTAGCTAAACACATTAACGTCAATTACCTTATCTTGATGCATTTTTACGGATAATGGGTCAACCTGGAAACCTCATTGTGAGAACCAACTGGTGCATTAATGTTAACTGTCCTCTCTGCACCCTGTTTAACCCTTTATCTGGCACATATTTGGGTTATGACACGCACATTTGGCAACATAATTTCCACATTTTATACCTGAAGCACAGTTTATTTGGTTTCCCACTGTTTTATAACAAGAAATTTGGATTTAAATATGATAAAGTAGTTAATTAGCTTCGAGACGACTTTGTTTTAGCGCAGATTCGTGTATGCTAATGAAGTTTAACAACCATGAAGGAAATGGACCGCAAACAAACCAGGTAGGGTAGGTAATACGGGGTTTATACGCTGTTGGGTACTCGTTTATCACAGGTTACATGTACATTAGTTTAAATTAACGACATTACATTAGCAGTGACTTAAACAGTCTAAAAAACAAATGCCAATGTAGCTAAACTGACACAAATAACGGTCGTTAACGGTCCACAAAGTATTCTCATAGCGTTGACGTTACTCACCTGCACAGGAGGTGAACCGTTGACTTGACATCGTTTATTCCAGTAAGATTTACGGCTTAATATGACGTTAAATCTTTCTTTTTTCCTTTGACAATGCTTCCAGATAATTAAACGTGACTGTTTCATCTACCTATCCAACTGGCTGTCCGACGTTGACATTTATTTTACCCAGAATATCGGTAAATCTCTCCTCCTGGTAACTGACACCGCGCCTCCCTCTGCCTCTCTCACTAACTGCCGAGAACACAAACACAGCTCAGGGAGGAGGGGCTGGACCACACTCGTGGTGCCTTCAAGACCTCCTCAGGAGCTCGGACTTTGGAGAGCGCAGAGTGGGAAAATTCCATTTCCCACATTTTTTCCCCCTTTAACTCAATTCAATTAATTGCATTAGCCTACTAGAGCGGGGCACAACCTGACATTTTAGTTTGGGCAGAGGGTTGTTAAAAGGGTTAGCTGTAACACTTGCTGGAAACATCTGTTCAACACAATTAATTCAATACAATTTTATCTATATGCTATAGGTCTCCATCTACATCAGGGGAAGGTTGGGTATCCATCCATCTGTTAGTCTGTCATTGATATTCAATGGTTAGACTGATAGATGTACACGTAATTAGGGTCTATTGCAATCCTAGGTATTCTTCTTCGTTCTTCTTTCTTCTTCCGAGGAAATCATACTTCTCGTGGGTGAAAACTCACCAAACTTTGCACAAAGGTCCAGTCTCATGCCAGATTACCTCAGCTGTAAACTCAAGCCAATAGTCCTGATGGTGGCGCTACAGCAAGCATCTAAAGTTCAAAACTTTGAAAATTCATAACAAATCAACCATACGTGCTACAACTTCACAACTTTCATCAAACTGTAGCCCCAATACTGAAGAAACTTTTGTACATTTAAACCTATTAAAATTATGACGTTCATCACTCTGTTTTTTTTTCAAAAACTGTAAAACTTCTTAAACCTATCTCCTCCCACAATTTTTGTTCAATTGACACCAAACTTGCTACAGAGCATCTTCAGACTGTCATACAAAAACTATGTTTCTCAGATTTTTGATTTATCCAAAATTGAGCCTACAGTGCATCAAAATGTTTGACTGTAAACGGTACTATAAACATATACATGCAAATTCTTGCTAAATAAAACTTCAATGTTCATGAAAAAAATGACAAAATTTTAGAGTCATGGTAGATGATGTGTGGCAAATTTCAGAATTTTATCTCAAAAACTGAATTTTTGACAGCATTTTGAATTTTGCTCTAATGTGAACAATTGGAGTCAATGTAAAAATGGCAATTTTAAACATCAGTTTTTCACTTATGGAGCAAATCGATCATTGTTACAAACAAATTACCAACATCTCCATGCTGTTTAGATGCAATATGTGTATTTTAAGATTTTTGTTTCGATAAGTAAAAATACAAAGTATAGTCTATATCTTATTTAATCAAGGGCATTAGGTCAAACTGAACATAAGTTTGAAGTGCAAAAATAAGATTTTATTGGGACGTCGGTGGCTTAGTGGATAGAGCAGGCCCCCCATGTACAAGGCTGTTGCTGCAGCAGCCCGGGTTCGACCCCAGCCTGTGGCCCTTTGCTGCATGTCACTCCCTCTCTCTCTCTCCCCCTTTCACACTTGTCTGTCCTATCAAATAAAGTTAAAAATGCCCCAAAAATATCTTTTAAAAATAATAATAATAATAATAAGATTTTATCAAGCCTAGCTAACACCTGCTGGGAGTTGGTTACATAGTTCTAAATGGTGCTATGTTTAAGGCAACAAGACAGTTGTTAAGATGATGTGTGGTTGGATTCCTTGACTTACATAGACAGCTCAGTCATCAAAAAAACAAGTACGACAAAGAAATTTATTTGTATCGGCTGAAAACACTCTGTTACTGAACCCAGCTGAAACATGTCCAATCTCTGTGGAATTTTACAGGTCACTATCTGGTGGTGTTGTGGTCAACCAGCTGGAAGCACGAAAGAATCGACCCCGTGTAACCACATAAAAAGTCCATGTTACAATTTACCCCGCATTAGGTTGTGCCCCGTGCTCCCTTACATTAAGAAAGGTAAGTAAGGTTTGGTCATACTTGACAGACCCAAAATGTTGCCCCTAATTAGTTGAATATGTAGGTGTGAAGCGCACTTTATCAAAATTAACAAATACAATTTCAAAGTTATCATTTCTGCATCTTGTGTGATTTTTAACATAGTCTCAAATAACCAACAAGACTCTAATTTCACAAATTATGACAAAAGATCTCATAGTTACAAAATCCTATATCATAATTACATATGATCTGATAATTGCAAGAAAATGATTTCATATTCACAACATCTTAAAGTCATGGTTATGTAAAGCATAGTTCAATTAAAATTTGATTTGGGTTTTTTTATTCATGATGACTCACTACAATTACGAGATATGGATATTGAAATTGTGAAATCTTTTATACAAATTATATATCATATCTTGTAATTATACAATATAGCCTATTAATTCACTCTGTCTTTAGTGAAAGCAAAGCACTTCCATAGAATACCAAACACAACAACAGTTTCAGTGATCTAAATTTGAGTTCAAGAAGCTTTAGTATGATTGCAGACAGATGTGACAGGGATAAAAAAGAATAACAAAACAATAGGTCGTCCTAGATTTGTTATGTCTGCAACAGCCACATAGAAATCATTCTACATACAACAAAGAATGAGTAGGATAAGTTAATTAATACTTAGAAACAACTCAATCATAGCCCTATACATCTTACATTGCAATATTACCAACTGATCATGAAGGTAACATCTTTAATGTGGTTAATGTGGTCAGTGCATTTTAATGATGAGAAGTACACAGCAATAATTTCAAAAGAAGCATACAGCTGTACCACTTTGTACAGAATGACAAACAATAATAAAAACATTAGAACACACTACCTTTGCTGCTTGATGTTCAAATAGTTTATCACAATTCATCAACTTGTATTTCACAATGCAATGTTCATCCATTTCTTTGGGCGTGTGTGTGTTTAATTGTGATACCAATATTTCCAACAGACCATGAAGGCATCATTTTAAAGCTTTTGACCTCTGCCAGCATCAAAGGGCAAAATCACTGACAGAAATATGTTATCATTCTTGATGTTTTGCCACTGAAAATCAGCAGTAGTGGAGAAAGTATTCAGGTCTTTCTCTTGAGTAAAAGAAGCTATAAAATAAAATGTTTAAACAAACCTCCGCTACTAGTAAGTCCTGCATTTAGAACTATATAATCAGCAAAATGTACTGTTAAAGTAGTAAATTTACTCTATACTATGAATATATGTATGCATGTGTGTTGCAAGAAAAGTTAAAATAAGGGAAATAGTCAGCCCAGTCTCCAGAAGAAAATGTTGCCATATCAATGTTTCTCAGTGACGCAACATATCAGCTGATGTTGTCATTGGCAGGTGGAGGGGATGGTGGATGGCGTGACAGCTAGACAAGACTGCTGCCAAGCTGTAGACCACTGCAGATGATCACTGCATTTCCAGCATGGATAGTGCCAGGAAAAGGGCTTTTTTTTTTTTTTTTACCAAGACATTGCTGCTTTTCCAGTGGGGATTGTGTCCAAGGTATTTTAAGAAAAAACATGATCCTTTCATTACCATAACCAGCGGTTTTTTTTTGCCTAACCCTAACCACAGCACTGTTGAAACACAAATAAATGTACGTTCAACATATTCGCTACATAATACCCTCTGTGATTTGCAGAAACAATGCCAGCATTTATTCTGGCAGTGAAATAGAAAGACTGTCACTGTCTCTGATCTCCTAAAATAACATTCCAAGCCTCAGGGGCAGCTTGCATCCATGTAGATTCATAGTGTTTTAGGCTGACCTCACCAGTGTCCTGCTCTTCTGGTTTAGGCTTTGGTATCATCCTCTTTGTTCAGACTGTTGTACTTGAGTTGCTTTGCAGAAGCGAGCTGCTCTGAGCCAGATGTCTGCTGCTCTCTGCCTGAATACAGCCTGACCAGCTCCCAGGCTGAACGTAGTGCCTGACATGTACAAGTTGACAACAGTAAAATGGATCAATGTATCATCAAAACTGGGCCGAGAAAAGAACCCGCACATAGTCCACACAGCACAGAACGTGTACAGGACTCCCTGTAGGATGCCAGTGACAGTGACCCTCACTTGACCGCTGAGCTGTGGACCAGAGATTGGCTGTCCGTTTGCTACCATACAACGCATGTGTCTGCTCAGGTAGACTACGGTAGAACCACTGGACATCACCATAACACACACACAGAAAATTAAATTGGCCCTTGCCAGACAAACTGCAATGGCAAATATACTTGGCGGCAATACAGTTAGAGGTGTTTGCAAATAATTTGTGTCATACATTGTGGCATTGTAACAGAAGCCAAAAGAATTAGTTAAAGCAAGGTACTTTAAAACCATGACACCACCATAAAACAAACTGTTAATTCCCTCAGTGAGCCGAATGCAGAAGATGACGGATTTGATATTCTTCTTAATCCAGATGAAGATAGCTCTCTGTGCAGGTACAATCTGGGTGTAGTAGAAGAAGTTCAGCCAAACAGAGGAGCTCATACTAGTGGACAAACTGCAGAAAAACACCACATACAAGGCTAGTGTGAAGTACAAGTTGTCATCTCTGTGCCTAATAAAGGACAATAAAATAGCTGAAGTCAGGTAAATTACTGTACAGCAAATCAAGGATGCCAGGAGAAGCTTCAGAGGTTGCTTGATCCTCTCCCCATGAAGTGGACAGATCATGCAAAAGATGAAAAAAGCATTAGCCACGATGTTGAAAAGAAAAAAAGGCCCATTAATGAGCCAACAGGTTAGAAAGTTCATAGTCATTTTGGACTCCGATGAAGCAACAGCTGCATTGAAACATTGGTCTGCAGATCAGTCAAAGTGCTCCAGTCCTTTTTCTCTCTGAAGTCTGCACACCTGACTCAGCTGCACAGATGCACACAGAACCCCTTTTCATCTATCTACAATTAGTTAGTTCTTCTCATATCGGTGTCTTCTTACAGACAAAACCTGAGAGGTCAACTCTGAGCAATGTATTGGTGTATTTGCATGATATGCAAATTAGTATACGCAAATAAAGCACTTGTGAAATCACAATTTCATCATGATTATTTACAGTCCTACTATTCTGACTTAGCAAAATGCGCAGTTGCTTACAGAGCTACCTTAGTGATTTAGTAATGGGCTTTTATAGAGTTGTGGTCACAGGAGACAGACAAAAAAAAAAAAGAATGGTCAGAATAGAAGCAGGAGGAACAAGATATCCTGACTTGAAGTCACTGTCGGTTGAGCTCTAAAAACATGATATTCTACATCCCATAATGCAACTCAACAGGGCATTTCATTAGACATTAGATGACATCAGGGTCAAAAAGACACAGTACATCCCCCAGGAAAATGGTGATCATGTCCCCTGTGAAACCAAGTGAACTTAAAGTTATTTTTAGGTATGTCGTTAACATGGTTCTCCTTCTAAATCCTAACCCTACGTAACTCTGCTTGCCTAAACCTAACCTATGTTATTTAACATGAAGTACATAATGTGCTGACGAAGTTCGTAATGTGACAACGGCCAACAATGTTTCTTTGCCTAAACCTAACCTGCGTATCTTTATGTGAAGTACATGTGCTGATGCCCAACCATATTTCTTTGCCCTGAACGACAATGCCCAACCATGTTTGCCCCAAACCTGACCTAAATAACTTTATTTGCCTAAACCTTAACCCACGTAGTGTTACATTAAGTTCGTGATGTAACAATGTCCAACAATGTTCTTTGCCTAAACCTAACTTAAGTAACTTTGGGTTAAGTATGTCACTTTACGTTAAGTATGTAACATGATGACACCCAAACATGTTTCCTTGCCTAAATCTAACCCTACATAACTTTACTTGCTATAACCTAACGTACATAACTCTACATTAAGAACATAATGTGACAATGCCCAACCATATTTGAACATGAATCTAACCCACGTAGCTTTATGTTAAATATGCAATGTGATGACGCAAAACAATATCTCTGCGCCTGAACCTAACTTATGTAACTTTGGATTAAGTATGCAAGTTTATGTTAAGTATATAATGTGATGACATCCACAACCATGTGTCTTTCCCTTAAACCTAACCTGTTCAACTTTACGTTAAGTGCTTACCTTCAAGTTAGGTACGTAATATGATGACACCAAACCACATTTCTTTGCTTAAACTTAACCTGCGTAACTTGACGTTAAATATGTACCTTAATGTGAAGTACATAATGTGACAACACCCAATCTTGTTTCTTTGCCTCAACCCATACATAACTTTACATTAGTACATAATGTAATGAAGCCCAACCATGTTTATTTGCCCTAAACCTAAGCTGCATAACTTTACGCTGAGTACATTTTGTGACGATGCCCAACCATGTTTGCCCCAAACTTGACCTACATGACTGTACTTGCCTAAACCTTAACCCACGTATCTTGAACTTCCTGTGTAAAATGTAGCGTGTAAATGTGAAGTGCTTCTTTTTTTCTTCTTTTGATTTCAGTCATTACACATTATCTGCTGTTTATCGCAGCATCAAGGGAACGTCTTCTGGCAGTGTTTTGCCACAGTACAACATTTACATCTATTTTGCTATACACAATAACACTGATCAAAAGAAACCTCACTCTGTATAAGAATGATTTCAAGCAACATTACCACATCATATACACAATAATTCACATGGACATTTGGACATCAGCAGTTACAGTATTGGTCATTTCACCTGATGCTGGCTGCATTTTCTCATCATTTGTCACTATGCCAGCACTACACAGTGCTTTGAGTGCCTTCCAGACATTGGCTGCTCTTTGCCTGAATATAGCCTGACCAATGCCCAAGTTGACCGTCGTGACCAACATGTACAGCGAGGTGGAGGTGAAGCAAGCCCAAGCACCCAGCATAATGGGCAAGGAGAGGATGTGGGAGAATGAAGTGAAGAGATAGAAAGTGATAAAGAGGAAGAAGAGCACCCCTTGAGAGATCCCAGTAATGGTGACTCTTATCTGACTTTGAATCCTTGAAGTGGAGAAGCAGCCGCCACTCCGTGTCACACTTCTTATGTGTCTATACAGGTAGCTGACCATGGAGAAGCTAGAAACTGTCATTATAAACAAACGTAACAAGGTATGCAGTGTAACGACAAAGATACAGACTTGGCTTGTGATGTACAGTCCACCCTTTTGATATCCAGTCCATGTATCATTGATAAAAGTGAGTTCACTGGTTTGATATACTTGATGTGCAGTGTTAATGGCAATACAGAAAAAAATGAGTGTCCCATCGAAAAGCAAAGTCTTGTAAATGACAGACTTGATGTTCCTCTTTACCCAGAACAGAAGAGCTCACTGTGCAGGAACAATCTGGACAAAGTAGTAGAAGTTCAGCCAAACAGAACACGTCAGGCTATTATACACGTAGTACTGCACAATCGCCCACAACACAATAAACATTGCAAAGCTATTCCTTTCCCTCAACCACAAATACATTGAAGCCAGGGAGACACAATAGATAACTGAGCACCAGACAAGTAATCCCAGTAGCATCTTTAAAGGCTGCTTGAGTCTGTGAGTGTTGCACGGTGAGATCAAGCAATGTGTATAGAAGATATTCGCAGTGAGGATGAGGAAGATGAGAGGTCCGTTGATTAATATGAAAGCCTGCTCACCGAGATCAGTGTATTGATGTTCCATTGGTGGTTTAGAAAAGCCAAAATATCAAAATGAAGTTGTGCCTCTGGGTGTCTGTTCAGGTCTCATGAGCCTTACACTGTGTGAGACCTTATAGGAAACTGGGAAGCCAACGTAAATGGACCAGAATGGTCACATTATGTAAACAACTACACCCACAAAGGAAGGAATATGTTAGCATATGTTTCTGAGAAGCACCTTGACAACATACAGTATGTAAAATACAACATGTTAGTCATTTGTTTTTGTTGCTGCTTTGAGGGTTGTTAAAGTTAACACATGATGACAGTGTGTGGTCCTTTGATATCTTTGATAATGTAGCTTTCATAGAAGGCACAGTTTAACATTTTTGGAAACGTGCCTCTTGGCTTTCTTGCCAAGAGTTGATGAGAACATCAATAAGACTCCCATGTCCTGTTGTTAGGTAGGGAACTAGAGCCATTAGCACAGTTTGCTAATATATTAGCATATATACAGTGCAGTATAATGGTCAGAGTATTTGTTCTTTTTCAATTACTTCTTTACAAATAACATTTTACACATCTGCCGAGTACGTCAGTGCAGTGACACTACTTTTTCCTTAGCAACATCAACCCAAAGCTAACCCAATGCCAAATGTTGGCACTGAATATACAAGCTACAGGTACGTTATATTTGCACATTATTATGCAGCAGAGGTTCCAACACATGACACTACAGAAGCCCTAAGACACATTTTCTTACTTGAGTTCCCTCTGTTGTTTGTTGCTTAAACATATGTTTTTTTAAAAAAAATATATATATATATATATAAGCTTTTGTTTTTAGGAAACAGGAAACATCAGAGGTTTTGTTTTTCATCTGTGAAAACAGGTGAGGAAAAAATTTTGAAGATTTTTTTGTGTGTGTGTGTGTGTGTGTGTGTGTGTGTGTGTGTGTTAGTTGTTGTAATACTCATTTTGGCCAGAAGAGGCTGAAGTGCACCACTACCCCATGTTCTTTCTAGGGCTGAAAGTGGTTTTGTTTGAAATCAGGTTTATTTCTCAATGCACTCTAAACACAACGTACATATTAAATTATGTGTTAGCAAGTTACGGAACCAAACTCTCATGTCTTTCTAATTGTTTTTCACCTGCAAAGTCTTTTTAAATCTATTTTCAAAGATATAAAAAAAAATACTTTAAAAAATGATTAGAAAGATTATCCTGGCTTTTTTTTTTTTTACCTATTCCTATTTTTTACCTATTCCCAGACTTAGGAATGGATCACCAGAATTTCTTTCATTTTTCCAATTGTTATTTTTCTGTTTGTGGAAGGACTAAACAAACACAGTACTGTATAATGTGTTAAGAAGTGCTGGTAAGTGAAGTTTTGCACCGTGGCAAGAGCTAGGCTACCTGTTTCCCCCCATTGCCAGTCTTCATGCTAAGCTAAGTTAATTGGGAAACAAACAATTTCAGCCATTTACACCTTTGCTTTTCCTACTGTGACATATCAAAATGTCCTTGATGAAAAAGATCAACAGTGTGTTTACAGCTTGTTGTGTTGCCCCCCAGGTGGCTAAAAATGAATTGGCAGGCAGCATACAGTCACACTGGGGTGAACGTCCTGTTTCCCAGGAGTAACCGCAGTTGGGCAGCAACACACAGGGTATAACGTTTCTGTGATGTTTCTAAAAAGACATCACTGTCTGTGTTTGAAGCCAGAAAATCCAAATTGGGGAGAAGAAAAATCCAGGTCTCTGCACTGTCATGGCTCATAACAGAAATTCTGCATAATGTATTTCACAGTATATGTTTACAGTATTGCAGTATTTTCAAGAAGACATCATATAGTACATATATTTACAAATATTTTCCTTTTAGGTAACTTTTCCAGGGTAGCTGGGGCCTA